GACCGTACATTTATTTTTTCTGGATTTTGTGAGCAACAGAAAAAAATGAGATTTAATAGTAAGCAGCTAAGTACAGCTAAATGCTTTCCTGTGTGTTTTGATAACCTAGAAATGTAGTGACCCTCTCACTTCACAAAGAACAGAATTATCAATTGCTAAAACCTTGTTGCTTGCAAACAATTTACTTTGTGATTTGAATTGATATCAAAATCACTTTACTTCATTATTACTGTAAAATCTGTATTAAAAGCCGTGGCTTCTATTAAAATGGTACAATGTAACATTCTATTAGAGCATCTACACATATGAAAAATGGTGAATTTTTGAGTCTCAATTGTTCAAAAAAAATGGGTGCGGCTTCTATAAGGCATGCGCTTCTAATACAGATTTTACGGTAATCACATTAATTCGACGTAATTAGCAGAAAGTCAATTAATTGTGGTTCTGGTAGATGCATGTACCTCTCAATTCTGGTCCTGATTAATATTACCCAATTTAGTAAAAATAATGTCACGTTTTTATTCTTATATATGTCTAAGTTTATTTTACCTGGAAATGAAATAAAAATAGGGGTCATCATACTAAGTTCTGAGAAAAACGATGTAGAAACTAGAGGGAAAATGGCATATTTTGTCTTTTTGTGGCATTTTGTCGTTGTTTTGCTATGGCAAGGGGGTATCTCAATATCATCTGGTGACAAAATGATATGCTGTAAAATACTTTTCCCTGAAAAGAGTTTTGGAGTGTTTTGTATGAAGTAATAAATAATTCACTGACTTTTGACGGGTTGAATTTAAAATATAGGAAAAAAAGGTATATTCGCTATATTTTATTTTCACTGAATCATTCCTTCAGTGAAAATCAAATCCAAGCGGAAATAAAGTAGTTTACAGTAGCGTCTTACAATGTACTTGTTCATATCTAAAATAATTACACATTTGACATTATTGTTAAGCTGGATTTATTAACTAAATGTGTTTTCATCATGGTCTCTGTAAAACGCTGCTAAATTGAAATTCTTTTGCATAATGTTAGATATTTTTTTCTCGAGAACAAAATTGACAGTGAATGAAAAAAGTCCACATACTATGAGGTTATTACGAAGATACCTCAAAGTAAACAAGAAGACAGTACAGCAAAAGTATCGACCAATGCGCAGCAGAGGTTGATGCAATGGTGTACTGTCTGAGTTCCTTCATGAAAATGTCAAAATCAAAAAAGTTTAGAACAGAATCAACGAACTTCTTTGAGTAGAGTCCCGTCAAACCCTGGTGGCAGCCATGTTTGTTTTTATTATTAGAGGACGCTTACGTGTGTAATCAATTCCATCTTTAGAATTCGCATTTCATTATATGGTTGAATGAAAATATCGCAAAATTACGGTACACTGTAACTTATGGCGTTGACAGATATATTATAATAATATTAACTAATTCTAAAATGTTTAATTTTAGACAGATTTTGACATGAAATATTGTCACTCCTATATACATGTATGCTAATATATGCACAAATGTTAAAATCGCACCTTGATAAGTTCAAATATAACTTTGTATGATAGTTAAATTTGGTGTCAGAGATTGGTACTTCATTGTATTGGGGAGGTCTTTATGTAGTTGTTTCGAGGTACTTCAAATAAATAAACCAGTAACCATGGTAAACTGTCTTTATAGATGCTCATTCTGGAATGGAAGAAGTGGAGGAGAACGCGGAAAAATTGTTTTTGGATTT